ATACCTGATTGTTTAGAGACTTTCTAGTTGTTTCTAGATTTTTCTGTTACTGTTTCCATTTTGATCAGAGAACATACTTTGTGTGATTTTAGTCCTTTGAAATTTAATAATTCTTGCTTTATGGTCCAGCCTGTGATCTATTTTGGTGACTGTTCCATGAACAATTAAAGAGAATATGTATTCTGCTCTTGTTGAGTGGAATTAGGTTGAGTGGCTAATAGTGTTTTCATATCCTCTCAATCCTTACTTCTATTCTTAATCTTAGCCAAAAGGTTAAGAAGTGATTGTCTTTACTTCCCTACCTTCTGTTTTCCCCACGCCACACTCTTCTGTCAGCACTAAGAGAAATATCCTAGCTAATAAAAGCCTAATATGCTAAGTGTCTGGTCGTCCATTCAATCAAAGTGTAATATGCTAATGATATGCTAAGGCTGCTCAACCGCTCGCTATGACATGCACTGACCACCAGGGGGCAGACAGTCGACTGGTCGACCAGTTGCTATGATGTTCACTGACCACGAGAGGGCAGACGCTCCAACTGGTAGGTTAGCTTGCTGCTGGGGATCCAGCAAATTGGGACTGAGCGAGACCAGCTGGACACGCCCTAGAGCCCTCCCATGGTCCCTCCCTGGCTGGCCAACCTCCTGCGTCCCTTCCTGGCCCCGATCGTGCCTGGGTGGGGTCCCTTGGCTTGGCCTGTGCCCTCTCGCAATTCGGGACTTCTCGGGGGATGTTGGAGAGCTGGTTTTGGCCCTGTCCCGCAGGCCAGGCCGAGGGACCCCACTGGTGCATGAATTCATGCACCAAGCCTCTAGTATTAATATATTAATCCAAATGATTTTGGATTTGTCAATTTCTACTTTTACTTCTGCCAGTTTCTGGTTCATGCTTATTCCTCAGCACCCTCTTGGCCAGGTTACCACCATAGGTTTGCTGTGTTCCTTCACAAAGAGTCACAGCTCCTTTTAGGAAACTTTCTAAATATACCTCCTCTGCTTGCTCTTTCTCTTGTGCCTCCAGGCTTAGGGGTGGTAGTGGCTTTCTGTTACTACTAGTCCCATTCTTGTTGGTTTTCCTAAGCTCTGCCCAGACCTGCATACATGGTTTCTTTATTATGCTGTCCTCAGTTTCTCAGTTTGAATGTACCATCTGTTTCTCACTGGGACCCTGATTGATAAATGGATATGTTTAGGATAAGCATTTCAGTCAGTGGGAAAATCCAGTTCAAAAGCCTGAAATGAGTATGTGTCTGACATGTTTAAGGAATAGTGAGGCTGGAGTAGACAAGTGAGGAGGACACTAGGAGGAAATGAGGTTTGAGAGGAAATGGGGGAGCCTCATCAGAATAGCCTTTTAGGACATTGCAAAGACTAGAGGGTTGACCAGAGGACTGACGTTACTTGATTCCTATTTTATTATGATCACTGTGGCTACTCTGTTGTGAATAAACTGTAGGGTGCAAGGTTTGAAACAGGAGATCTGTGAGGAGGTGAGAGAGAATGCTGTTTAAATGAGAAAATGATTTAACTAGTAAACCTCTAACTTGGGTCAGCATTGTGGTGGTAGAGGATGTGATGAAAAGTGGATGATACTGGATATATCTTAAAGACCAATTCAATGGGATTTCCTGATGGAGTATGAGAGAGAAGAGCTAAGAATGGCTGCAAGAGCCCTGGCTAGTGTGGTTCAGTTGTTAGAGCATCGGCCAGGCCACTGAAGGGTTACAGGTTCAATTCCAGGTCAGGGCTCATACCTAGGTTGCAGATTCCATCCTCTCATGAAGGCAACCATTTGATGTGTCTCTAACATTGATGTTCCCCTCCCCGCCTCTCCGTGAGGATTAACAAATAAAACAAAACCAAAAAGAATGGCTTCAAGATTTCTGGTTTGAGTAACTGGAAGGATTACATTGCCATCAGCAGAACTGTGGAATACTGTGTGGATGGAGCACATTTTGTGGGAAGATCAGAAGTTCAGTTTTTTGTTTTATTTTCAGAGAGGAAGAGAGAGGGAGAGATAGAAACATCAGTGGTGGAAGAGAATCATCGATTGGTTGCCTCTGCACATCCCCCACTGGGGATTGAGCCCACAACTTGGGTATGTGCCCTGACTGGAATCAAACCACGAGCTCCTGGTTCATAGGTCGATGCTCAGCCATTGAGCCATGCCGGCCGGCTAGGCAGAAGTTCAGTTTTGAATGTTAAGTTTAAGTTGACTATTAGGCGTCTCATTGTTTGTTGGTATGGATGTTTGGAGTTCTGTGGTCTGGGTTAGAGATATAAACTTGGAATCAGCAATATATATTAGTTGCACTTAAAAGCATAAGACTGGGTGAACACATGAAGGAGAGGTTATAGATAAAATAGAAAAGAGGCTAGAACTGAGCCTCTGCACCCAATGTTAAGAAATTAAGAGGAAGAGAAAGCAAAGATGACTTGAGAAGTTAGAGTGAGGTAGGAGGAAAATAGAGGAGACAAGGGAGCAAGGAGGAGAGGGAAAGGGGATGGAGAGGGAGGTGGAATCTCCTATTGTGAGCCTTGACAGGAAACAGGGCCTTGAGTCCACTCTAGAAATCACAGGGACCTGCCTCATGGCAGCGAGGCTATGGACAGTAACTTAGGTTTGGCTAATTAAATGCCCCTACCCAAATGAATCATGAGGGAGTTACACAGAGGCTGCAGGAGCAGTCGCTTATGGCAATGTTCTTATTATAAGATGCTTCTGAAGACTTCAGACTAAAGATGAAGAATCATGATTTCTGCAGCTTAAGATAGTGTTTTTACAACTTTTTACAGGTTTGAAAAATATCAAACTAAAATTGGAAAAAGTTGTCCTCTGCTCCTGGTGTCCCACGGTGGATTTAGTGTTGCCAGGGGCAGTATCTCAGTGTGTTTCTCCTGGGGAGTGACTTTGACTCTGTTTCCTGTTGCCTTCCTGCTGTGCTTTGGACTAGATTCTGAGCCTTGGCTGCTTCAGTGACCTATGGTTCTGTGAGTTATCCTATATAATAAAGAGGTAGTATGCAAATTGACTGTCACACCCTCACAAGATGGCTGCTTACGACCAGGCCAGCAGGGGGGTTAGTGAGGGACAACCAAACAGCTGAACAGCAGGCTGTGTGGGGCGACCAGGCTGGCAGGGGGGTTAGTGAGGGACAACCAAACGACTGAACAGCAGGTTGCGTGGGGCAACCAGGCCGGCGGGGGGGGGGGGCAGTTAGGAGTGACCGGGCTGTCAGGGAGGGGGCAGTTGGGGCGACCAGGCCGGCAGGAGGGTCAGTTAGGGGTGCCCAGGTAGGCAGGCAGGGGAGCAATTAGGAGCCAGTGGTCCAGGATTGTGAGAGGGCAGTCGGACATCCCCTGAAGGGTCCCAGATTGGAGAGGGTGCAGGCTGGGCTGAGGGACATCCCCCTTCCCTATGCACGAATTTTGTTCACCGGGCCTCTAGTTTCATATAATTGCTGTAACAGAACCTTTTACTAAGCTACTTTGAGATGGCGTTTCTGTTACAGTAGTTATATAAAGGAGATCACAGAAACCGTGGTTACTTAGAGTCAAGATTAAATGAAATAACATAAATAATGTATGTATAGCCCTAGCCAGTTTGGCTCAGTGGATAGAGCGTCCTCCCACAGGCTGAAGGGTCCTGGGTTCTATTCTGGTCAAGTGCATGTACTTCAGTTTCAGGCTCAACCCTGGTTGGGGCACGTGTAGGAGGCAACCAATCGATGTGTCTCTCTCACATCAGTGTTTCTCTCTCTGTCTCTCCCCCTCCCTTCCACTCTCTATCTTAAATAAATAAATAATGTATCTATAACAATATTTGCCAAATAGCCAGTACTCAATAAGTCCTCAGTTAACTGAGTAGACTAGTTCAGAGGAAAATTCTTTTGATTTGTGTAAGTGAACTCTAAATATATATCTTCTGTATCAGAAAGTATACTTGGGTTTTGCACAGTGTTTCTATATTTCTGTCAATTTAACACATACCTGTAATATATTTATTCATCTACTAAAACTATTTTCCCTGCAGATTTACAAAATCTTTATTTGTAAAATCTGTCTCATGGGATTATTTTGGGAATGCGTGAAGTACTTAGAAGAGAGTAATCATTTAACAAGTGTTGACTGTTGTTATTATTACCATGATTTAAGGCCTTAGTCTTCAGGTATCTTACTGGCTCAAAACCCGGCAGTGTAAAAAGATGTGTCACAGCTTCTTTTATTGAGTCTTTGAGCCCTTTCCAAATGAAGTTCCAGGTGCAGATGGTATCAATATGCCTATTTTGCTGTTGGAGAGAGCAAAGCAGAGATTGTTCAATTTAGTCTGGCACTTTAGAAGATCAGCCAGAAATTAATGTTACTTAAAAAAAACTAGAACCATGTAGAAGTTATTGAGAACTTTTGCTCTGTTTTGTTTCATGTAGCATTCTTAGCATACATGCCATTGGGCTTTTGTTCATTTTAGAACATTGAAATATTGAATTTTGGGGCTATGTTGCTAGTGAACTTGAAGTTGTATGTAGTGAAAATAAGAACTTAAAAAGGTTGCAGATATACCTTAACCCCTGTGGATGCTTTGGATGATCCTAAACAAAATACTTCCTTCTGTATTGCTATTGACTCTATTAGTATTGCTATTAATGAGAAAATAAAGCTGGTTAATATGCATATTTTATTGTATTTCACCTTTTTTGCTAATACAGCATTTAAAATGTGAATTTCACTGATGCTTCACTTCTTTCCAGAACTTGTACTTTGGATAGAAGTTTAGAGCAGCAGTCGCCAATCTTTCGGACCTCATGGACCGCCAGTGGTCTGCGGACCACCGTTGGCGACTGCTGGTTTAGAGTATAGTGTTTATGTGCTTGACAGAGACTGATGTGTGGTACATTTTGTAATATCCCTCTCTGTAGGTCAGGAGAATCATTGTTGGGGAAGGCATAGGGTATGTTTTTCTCATTTGTCTCTTGTAATGCTGTGTTTCTTTATTCTCTTTAGGTGACACAGTTAGTATTGGAAATGTATCCTACAAGTTGAAAACTCCTAAGAGCCCGGAACTTGTGCCACAGAACTACAGTAAGAAATAGTTATTTATTTATGAATTAATAATTTTTAACTTTTCATTATGTGAATTTTTAAACATATACGAAACTAAAGAGAATAATATAAACCTGGTGTACATATCATTTAGGTTCAGCATTTATCAGCATATGCCAGTTTTCTTTTACCTGACTCCGTTTTTTGTTCTGGAATATTTAAAACCTGCCCCCGACATTGTACCACTTCATCCATGAATATATTAGTAAAACTTGTATTTTTTTATATACTACTAGAGCCCCGATGCATGAAATTCATGCACGGGGGCGAGGGGGGGGGGCGTTCCTAAGCTCAGCCTGCACCCTCTCACAATCCAGAACCCCTTGGGGGATGTGGATGTCCGACTGCCGGTTTAGGCCTGAGTCCGCAGTGGGATCGGGCCTAAACCGGAAGTCGGACATCCCTCTCACAATCCGGGAGTGCCACTCGCCTGCCTGCCTGATTGCCCCTAACCACTCTGCCTACCTGCCTGATTGTCCCTAACTGTTTGCCTGCCTGCCTGATCGCCCCTAACTATTCTCCTGCCTGCCTGATCGCTCCTAACTGCCTCTGCCTCAGCCCCCGCCGCGGCGGCTTTATCCAGAAGGACGTCTGATTAGCATATTATGCTTTTATTATTATAGATTATTTCTTTTTTAATTAGGATAGAATTACATACAATAAAATGCATAGTATTCATTTTGTTTAGTTTTGATAATGTTATAAACGTGTATAACCACCAAGATTATGTTCATCTCTGAGTGTTTTGTGCCCCTTTCCAGTTACTCTACCTTGAAAACCACTGTTCTGTTTTCTACTATGACAGATTAGTTTTGCCTGTTTTTCAGCTGTATATAAATAGAATCGTATAGCATGGTATTTATGTGTGTGTGTGTGTGTGTGTGTGTGTGTGTGTGTGTGTGTAACTGTCTTCTTTCCATCAAGGTAATGATTTTTAGGTTCATCCATGTTGCTGTACCTATCAGTTTGTTTTTATTGCTGAGTATTATTCTGTTGTATAAATATACCACATTTTGTTTATCTGTTCTCCAGTTGATGGACATTTAAATAGTTTCCATTTTTGGACTGTTATGAATAAGGTGCTATGAACATTCCTGTACAATTATGTGGTCATAAGTTTTCACTTCTCTTGAGTAAATAGGAGTTGAGTTGAGATGTCATAGGATAGATGCCTGTTTAACTTTATAAGATACTGCCAAACAGTTCTACAAAGTAGTTGTGCCATTTTACCCTTTGAGTATGTAACTAGGAGTGGAATTGCTAACTCCATGTTTAATGTTTTGAGGGATTACCACACTGTTTTCCAAGCAAGGTGCACATATTACATTCCCACCAACAATGTGTGAGGGTTCCAGTTTCTCCCCATCTTCACAACACTTGTTTTATTATAGCCATCTATCTTTGTGGGTGTGAAGTGGTATTGTTGTTTTGATTTGCAGTCCACTAATGACTCACAGTCACTTCTTTGCTCTAAATCATGCCACTTCTTTTCTCAAAATTCTGTACATGACTAATATCTTAGGAACAAAGGTCAATCCTTACCTTTCATGATCTAGTCGTAGCCTCATCTTTTGCCACTTTCCTTCCCCTATTCTATGTTTCGGTCATTGGGCACAAAAACAGAATTCCTTTTTGTTCATTCTTCGTATTCTTACTCTAGACTACGTACTCCTTGAGGGAGAATATCTCACTTTCATCTAACATAGATTCTCATTTACTTTACCTCCCAAATGGCTCTGTAATCTGTCTTCCCTACTCTGTTCCATTTTCCTTTTACTGTGTTTTGTTTAAAATATATTTTTTATTGATTTCAGAGAGGAAGAGAGAGGGAGAAAGAGAGAGATAAACATCAGTGATGAGAGAGAATCATTGATTGGCTGCCTCTTGAACTGAGGATCGAGCCCGCCACTTGGGCATGTGCCCTTACTGGGAATCAAACTGTGGCCTGCTGGTTCATAGGTTGACACTCAGCCACTGAGCCATACCAGTTGGGCTCTTTTACTCTACTTTAAAAAAAAAGTCTTTATTTTTGAAAGTATTACATATGTCTCCTTCCCCCCTACCCCCCTGCCCATTGACCTCTCCCAGCCCACTCCCACTCCCAGCACAGGCCCTCTCCTCCTTATTGTCTATGTCCATTGGTTATGTTTATATGCACGCATACAAGTCTTTTGGTTGATCTCTTACCCCCCTCCTCTCGTCTGCCTTCCCTCTGAAGCTTGACAGTCTGTTGGATGCTTCTGTGTCTCTGGATCTATTTTTGTTCATCAGTTTATGTTGTTCATTATAGTCCACAAAGGAGTGAGATCATGTGATATTTATCATACTCTGACTGACTTATTTCACTTAGCATAATGCTCTCCAGATCCATCCATGCTGTTGCAAATGGTAAGAGTTCCTTCTTTTTTATAGTAGCATAGTATTCCTTTGTATATATGTACCACTGTTTTTTAATCCACTCATTTGCTGATGGGCACTTAGGCTGTTTCCAAATCTTAGCTATTGTAAATTGTGCTGCTATGAACATAGGGGTGTTATATCCTTTCTGATTGGTGTTTCTGATTTCTTGGGATATATTCTTAGAAGTGGGATTACTGGGTCAAACGGGAGTTCCATTTTTAATTTTTTGAGGAAATGCCATACTGTTTTCCACAGTGGCTGCACCAGTCTGCATTCCCACCAGCAGTGTATGAGGGTTCCCTTTTCTCCACATCCTCACTAGCACTTGTCATTTGTTGATGATAGCCATTCTGACAGGTGTGAGATGATATCTCATTGTCATTTTGATTTGTATCTCTCAGATAATTAGTGACTTTGAGCATATTATCATATGTCTCTTTGCCTTCTGTATGTCCACTTTCAAAAAGTGTCTATTTAGGTCCTTTGCCCATTTTTTGATTGGATTGCTCATCTTCCTTTTGTTAAGTTGTATGAGTTCCCTATAAATTTTGGAGATTAAACCCTTATCAGATGTAACATTGGCACATATGTTCTCCCATCCAGTGGGCTCTCTTGTTGTTTTACTCTGTTTTTTTTGAGATATTTTCTTAGTGGTCCACTCAAGATTACAATTAACAATTTAACTTAAAACAAACTTGTTCAGATTAATACTAACTTAAATTCATTCAATAGTATACAAAACTTCACTTTGTTCCCTTTCCACTTCCTTTGTGCTGTCATTGCTATACTAATTATAGCTTTATTCATTAAACATTTACTGGCACAGTAAGAAGAGTTACAAACAAAAATATGTTTATGCTGTCTTTCTATTTGCATATGTGCAGTAAAACCTCTATGTAATGGACTAATTTGGACAAGGGGGTGTTCGTTAAACCCAAAAGTTCATTATATAATAAAGTAGGTTTTCCAAACATGTATGTTAAAAAATTGACAAGTTAGTTTACTGTTTTTACTTATGTAGACACGTTTGTGTAATTACAATTAAGTACGTATGAAAAATTTAATTTCACAGAAAAGTTTTCCATATGCATTACTATAATTTTAAGTTTATACTGAATAGGCCTAGTAAATGTGTGCACTCACCAGTCACCTCTAGTAAACAAATGCACATGGCTAAGGCGTGGCTCACCAGCACTAGTTAAAACTGCTGCAGAAAGTCTCACCAAGCAACAACAGAACCAGTGAAGGCTTGATGCGATGTGCTCATGCGCTACTCATTTCCTGAACATTATTTGTGAGTGGTGACTCTTGGATTTAAATATGTAGACTATAGTTGTAGGCATGTAATATTTACTGATGTCGGCGAATTACTATATTGTTTTTTCCAACATATGACCTATTTGCTAAAATTTGTTGAAAATAACAGTGAATTAATAAAAAAAAAATAACCTGTTAATTTAATTATAAGCAAATCTTGGTTAAAAGAATTTAAATTAATAGGGTATTAATTTTCACATAAGACATATGGACCTGAAAATTTGTCCATTTAATATGAGGTCCATTAAATTGAGGTCCACAAAATTGAGGATTTGATGTAGTTACTGTGACTGGTATTCTTTCTTTGTGTGGATTTGAGTTACATCTTGTATGCTTTAATTTCAGCATGAAGGAAGGATTTCCTTTAGTATTTCTTGTAGGAGAGATCTGCTGGGGATGAGTTCTCTTAGTATTTGTTTATCTGGAAATTTCTTGATTTTGTCTTTATTGCTTAAAAGATAATTTTACTGGATATGGAATTTTTGTTTGACAGTTTTTTTTTTCTTTTAGCACTTTGAATATGCCATATTACTGCCTATGGCCTCCATAGTTTCTGATGAGTCATTATTAATTTTATTAAGGATCCTCCTCTATGTGATGCATCACTTTACTTTGTGCTATCAAGATCCTCTGTTGGCTTTGGCTTTTGATAGTTTGGCTATGGTATGTGTGATAACAAATCTCTTTGGGTTTTACCTTTTTGGAAGTTGTTGAGCTTTTTGCATGTGCAGATTAATTTTTCCCATCATTTTGGGGGAGTTGTTTTAGCAGTTATTCTTTATTGTTTTATATAATTTTAAAAAATTTAAATTTAAAACAAGACTAGTATATTTGATTTATTACCAAGGTAATTCTAAAAAGGTAATGGTACTTAAGTTATCATGCATTAGAGAGCAATTTTTAAAATGACCATCATTGTTGGTAGAAAATTTTTTTCCTTGTTATTTATTGTTCTTTCTTTCTTTTTCTCTCTTTCTGGGACTCTCAGTATGTGTACATTAGTATATTAGATGGCGTCCCATGGATTTCTGAGGCCCTTTTTAATTTTTTTTTTCTGTTTCTTAGACTGGATAATCTTAGTTGACCTATATTCAAGTTTGCTTGCCCACATCTGTTGTTGAGCTCCTCTAGTGAATTTTTAAATTTTACTTATTGTACTTTTCAACTTCAGAATTTCTATTTGAATTTTTTAAATAATTTGTTTCTTTTTGATATTTTCTGGTGATATATTGTTGACAGGCTTTCCTTTAATTTGTAGACAT